CCCCCGTCAGGTAGGAAGATGCCTTTGTGCGTGCCGGAGACCCGCTGTGAAGGCCATAGAAGGGAAGGTTTAGAAGGAGTCAGCCATTCAGGACAGAGAGGGCCCTCGGTCCTGGCCAGGGCTGGGCAGTCACTCTACACAGGCCTTCTTTTTGTTCGACCTGGTGGTTGTAGCCTTCCTCAGTGTAAATACAACGTCTCCCAGCTCCTGAATGTGCTATTGAGTTGTTTACTCTGCTTCAAGCAGAGAAGCAATCTCTTTGGTATGTTTCAAGCACGCAGCCTTTCAACTGAGAGTTCTAAAGGCTTTTTATGGTTCGTCGTGATTATAATGGTAGGAGTTGCAAAGCCCGGCTGGGGGGGCTTGTCGTTAATGAGGTTAATGAGTATTACACTGTGGAATGCTTTCACATACCCTTGTTTTGCCTTGTCTGTTGGGGTGGGCTTAGGTTTCTTTTGGGATTGTGTTATACATTGAGTTACCATGTCACAGCTTCCAAGGAAAAGATGGGCCTTGATGTACCTGTTGCGGAGTTTCATATAGGGATCCATGGTTAAATTTCATATGGGTGTACGTGGTTAAACTGCATATAGTTGGTACCTGCATATATTGGTACCTGCCAATGTGTATTTTACAGGCTAATTTAAAACAATAGGTTCGTTGCTTTCGACTCTTAAGATCTGTAGGGTAGGCTGTGTTGCTGAACTAGCTGTCTAGTTAACAGGGGTGTGTGGAAAAGTTCTGTACTCACAAATTCTTTCACCCTGTGATCACCGAAACCCGAATTTCCGCTGAATAAATTTCCTGGCAGTGCTGCTTTGGAGTCATGTTTCCTTGAAACTTTGGACCCTGGCTTTTGAAAGTTGCTTTTGTACTTGCCCTCAGCCCTGCTGTGTTCTTTGAACCTTTTTGAATCTATTTCTATGCACTCTGAATCTGTTTTCTTGATTGGGGTAATTGTTGGCTATTTCAATGGCACTGCTTTGAAGACTTGCCTTTATAAGGATAAATTGGTTGACCTCTTGTTGTTTTCTCTTTTTCTTTTACAGCATTGTCACTGATGTTGCAGTTGGTGTGAAGGTAGGATGGGCGCTTGGCAAATAAGGGGGCAAATAGTAGATACAAAGTGAACCACTTTCCGCGTCAGTAATTTCAAGTTGTAAGATTTTAACTACTCATTGTCAGCTGATATTTAGTCAGCAGTATATGCTTTATTAACCAAAAATCCCTAGAGATAAATTACAGGCTCTACACAAAAGGCTTTGCTGGGCACTGAACTGTAAACAGTGGCACTAGATTAATGTAGTAGTGTCAGCTTCTTATTTTTAAAGCTTCATTTTACATACTCTGTTTTTTCAGAACAACACTTTCTCATTGTTGCATATTGACTGTAAAAGACATGTTTTCATCTATCCCCCCCATCCTCTTTCCGAAACAGTTACTACTGAAGTTAAAAAAGACACACAAATATGGGAGGTAGCATTTATGTAGACAGAGAAGGGGGCGTTTGCTCCTTTTTACTACTTATTTCTCAAGTTGCTATGAATTTGTCCTATTTATTAAAACAAGGGAGGAGCTTCCAAATCGTTGTTAATTTACTATTTACTTCACTTCTGTGTCCAAATCTGTTGTGGGAATTAGATCAGTACTTTGTAGAAGCAGACTGAGAAATAGTGAGGATGCAAAGATAATATAGGACAAAGGAACTTGAGGTTATATTAATGAATGCATGCAAGCAGTTCTGTTTCAGTAGAAGAAATGTGGACGTTTTCCAGTGTATACAGTTAAGTCTTCACATTGGTCCAGGGGCTTTGTGATACTACATCACTGCCTTACCACCTGACTCTGCTCTGTGTTAACTGCTTGGTTAGCCAGGTTTTGTCTAGTAAAGCTCTTTGGCTCACATTCAGCATTGGTCCTGCTGGATTTGGACTAGTTCTTATATAATACAACCAGCTTGCAGATACAGCAGCTATTCTGTCAGAATGTATGCCTGTAGTATGTTTCTGAGCAAGCTTGCTTCTGGGAGAAGCTATAAGAAGTCAGTTGCAGATTCTGGCCCCATCTGGCCCCACAGGTTCATGCAGTATTGAAGACAAGCTTAAAATCACTCTCTGAATCCAGAGGAAAGTGTAGTTCAAGTACATGGTGGGAGCTAATACCAATCAGAAACACAAACTGGCATGATTATTTCTCTGTTGATGGGGAGGAAAAAAGTGTTAAGTGATGAAAACTATATTTAATAGTTTGGAGGAATACCTGAGGAAGTTCAAGTCTTTCAGAAGTAAACTGCCCCCATAGTTTTGGGGCGAAACGATTTATAAGTTGCCCTCAGTCGTGTCCAATGAAGAAATAATTTCAGGTATACCATGGATTGCATAAGCCTTAAATTCTGACATTCTCACTTCAGGAGAAGTAAATGGATATAGTATCCCTTTCACTCATTGCTATGACTGACTTAGGAGAATTTGAGTGTTCATGAGGTATGCTGTGTGTAGTACGATACCGGAACCATATCTTCAGATACTAGACACAGTGAAATGAAGACATTTCAGGTGACATAACTGCTTTGTTGATTGTAGAAGTTGTATTAAGAATGTAATATAAAAAAGAAAGCAGGCCAGGTGTATCAGAGATACTGATTAAAATCAATACAAGGAAAAGCACATAAGTCTCAAAAAGGTGTGCTCTTTGCCGGGTAAAAATGAACTTCCTCTCTGGATTTTAAAAGGAATCAATCCATTTGTGCATGGAAGTAGTGGGAATCAATAGAAAAGGTGGTGGTTTTCTGAAGAAAGCCGTTAAATATGGGAGGAGTAAACTGGATTGTATTCTGGAGCTTCTGTAAGTATCTCAAGATACTAACAGGAATGGAAAATGGAATTCTTGCTAATTGAGGTATGCAGTTTGGGTAGCAGCCTGATGGGAGCTTCAGCAATGTTTCATGGAAAGCCATGTGAAGCATCTGCCTTTTATGTTCTCTGGTGACTGTTCACAGCTTTTGCTGAACTGATGCTTTACTGTTGAGGAATGCTTTATCTATAGGTGGTTTATAAACTACCAGGCCTTTTCTTGGCTGTTATCTTTTCTTTAGGGTGCTTTGGGAATGTGCAGGGAGCAAGTTTTGAGTCCAAGGAGTCGCATCAGCAGTGTTAATGCTCTTTTGACACCGCTTTTGTTGTGACTCGATAGCTCTTGGAAGCGGGTTGGGATTTACCTGTGTGAAATCAACTTGCCCAGGACATTTGTTTGACCTAATGCTTTCCTGAGGTTTTCTACCTACTGTATTATGCTGATCAGTTAGTTAGACAGCAGCATGTTTGTGATACAGTCAGTTGTACTTGGAGAAGGGGATTGTGACACGTGACACTTCTGTTTGGAAAATTTGCTTTATTTCATCATCAATCATGTCAACACAAATTTCATAGTTCTGTTAACTATTGGCTGGTTTCTCTTAAACAGCAAAGTGAACGTGTTACCTTTTTACACCCGTTTGTAAAAGAGTAATAGTAGAAGTTAACTACTGTAGTCTGGGAATTGTCTGCATTATAAAAGGGCTTTGGGGACTGCATGTGGGCAAGGCAAGCATAAAGTGAAAGGAATGCTTGCTTATCATGTTTTATTAACAGTTTTACAGTCTTAGGCTTACAATGAGGCTGCTAAATTTGAAGCTATTACCATTTATTTGTGCTGTTCGTGATTTGATTTAAACCATTTTTGTTCATCAGAGTGTTGAATGTTCAATCTCGGGTTTATTTACGTGTTGAGTCACCAGAAATTAATGCCAAAAGCTGAGGAAAATATAAAACTCAAAAATGGAGGTGGAAAAAATGACACATACTCTTTGGAAACTTGGTTCACGCAGAGTAAATGTGGGGATTTGCACAACTCAAAATGCATGCTTCCAGGCTAAAACCTGTCAGAGGAGCAGTGTGCTTTAATTTCTGAAGGCGTTAGAACATGTCAAAACCCAGTAATCTTCTAAGCATATGTGAAATAATTCATATTTGATTTGGTCTTTAGTGACTTGGTTTGCTTACCTAGAGTTCATGGAGGCAAGGAAGCAGCACTCTGCACAGTTTACCCCTTACGTTCCAATTTCCAAAATAATGGGAAAAGAATGAGCTTTAGCTTTGGCTCTGATGTTACTTTGGGAATTCCTCTTGTATAGAAGCAGTTTGTGCAAAGTGTTTGTGAACAGAAGAGAGCTAAAGATTCCAGTCGTGATAATATATTGCATAGCTCATAGTCTGTTTGAAATGACCTGCTAGTTACCTGCTAATCTCAAACTTCTCATTGCTCACTGGCTATATTGGTTTGAGTATCAGAATCTAATAACTGTAGCTTGAATTGCTGGCTTGTGTTCTCTTTGCAGCTGTGATGTTCTCTTTACAGTCATGATACTTTAATCTCGATAAGTAAACTGATTTGGCACTTGGAGTGCTAGAGCCTTTTTCAACTGTTGAAGTGAACGTATGAAGTATATAATGTAGCTTTTCTCTGGAGTAATTAAAAGAATCTTTGGAGGGGTATAAAATGTGATGTAAAGAAGATAGATCACACAGGTGCAGGAATAACTGGTGGAATTTTGGTGCCTATTGAAGGTGATATTTCTCTTCTGCTGTATTGCAGTGGGTGCCACTTCAGTCGGATGTATCATCTTTCTGCTGCATGGCAAGCACGGTTGTGCTGTAAATGGGGACTGAACAATCCAGTGACTCATTTACTGTATGTGCATTGCACATTTCATGTGCAGTGGCTGAGGTGTACTTGTGCCTGCTGGGAAGAAAAGAAGCAGTCATTCCTTCATGAATGTGTTATTTGGTATATAGCAGTTGGGAATTCACAACGTTGTCAACACTGCTTTGGGCTGTGCTGGCCAAAAACTGAACTTCAGCTTGGCAAGTGTGGACAGCCCCAGCTGTAGCTAGGAGGGAAAACCTCAGATATTCCTGTAAACATAGTTTTGTAATGTCTAAAGATGTGGGAATGGCCTTTCTCCCCCAAAGGCAGGGCATTGGCCTTTGCATTATGCTTAAGAGAAGAAGCAATTCTCGGTGTGTTTGTAGTTGGTTACATTATGGTTGGGTAGAAGATGCCAAGAAGTCTTCTAGTAGTTTCTGGTAGGTTTCCAAACAGTAATGTGTCCCAAAGTCCCCCTTTTTCAAGGTTGCTGAAATTTAACATTTAACTTAAGAAATGAGAAAATACATGTAAATAGCTTCTTCCTTTCAGTTTCTTCTTTTTCTGAAACCTGTTTACCTTCGCTGTTATAATTCTAGATACTTAAAAAACGTATGGAGTGGTAGGATAGAAAACCTGGTTGGCTCATTCATACAGACAAATGCCATTTGAAAGTCTGTTCTATTGTGTTTAAACTATTAGAATGATACATTTGAGCTATCTTTGCATGTCTGATATAATTACTAGCAGATTCCTAGTAAATTAGACAAAGAGTCTGCTGAGGGCAGTGACATGAGAAAAATGGGTTGGTTGTGAATTAGATGAACTATTTTAGTTTTGTGTTAGCCAGGATAATGTTCTTAAATCAAATTTGGTGTTCAGTAATACTTAGTTGTAGCAAGAAGAGACAGCAAAAAGTGTGCAGGACATTCTAGCAGTGAAGTGGGAATGAAGCGTGACCATGTTTGGAGGTTCAGAACTGGCATCTGGATTTGTCTTTTCAGCAGTGGAACATGTCCTTGGTGACAAAAACGCCCCAACTTCTTACAATGAAACATATCTGCTCTCTTTTTAACAGAACTTCTGTAAATTTGCCCTGTTGAAAATGACTTTCCTATTTATTGCCTGATCAGTTTACTCCAGTTCTTTTTTCTTGTAGCTTTTTCGTTTTCTTCTTCATGCTCATTCTGCCACTGTGTAATATATCTGTAAAAATGAGAGCAAAATGGAGAGGAAAGAAAAATGTTGAGAATTAGCGTGCTCTGTAGCAAGTATGCATCAGTGTAGGGAGGGTTAGGT